GTTTCAGTATTCACACGGTTATAGGTGTTCGATGATACACGTCACAACAATCAACCAATTAATTAGATCTTACCTGAAATTTCATCTTGGTGGTGGTGGAGGGAGGAGGTGTAGGAGGACCAACTGGAAATAGTCCTATGAACCTACTGTCACATTTAATTTTTCGGCCGTCTTTTAAGCGCTGGTACACAATAAGTCATAACGGGATGCACCAAGTTGCCTGATCAACTTTTAATATGTGTTCACGTCTGACATAAGGCCGTGATTATAACGGCGGAGTAACACATTCTTCGCAGGTGGTTGACACTTCCTACTTCTGTTTACTGTAAGAAATACTAAGGAGAGAGAACAGGTGTGGATTAGGTCTTAAAATAAAACCAAATGCAGATTGTGGTCAAAGGGGTGGATGAATGATACAAGGTCACATTAAGCTTCTTCTCTTAACATTGGGCAACGTTCACTCCTCTTCCGCCTCAAACTGTATTCTTATTCTTGAAGTTATGTAACACACACACACACACACACACACACACACACTGACACACACATTTTGCAAAGATCAAATACTGACACTCCCCGATTAAGCAAAAAAGTAATTATTATTTTTTTCTCCTCAATAGAATTTTCTTGCGCCATCTTACGAAATGATTTTGAATGAGACCGAGGACATTACTAGTGGGCACACGGACTGACAGACGTACAGGTGCAAGTCAGAACGTCTCCCTTATTACGTATGCGGATCCTTCTGGGTGTTACATAGACGGTGAATATGAAGACGTTACTCCTATCTTACTCTGGTACGGGGGGGATCAAGAGGCACAGAAACCTTAACGAAAGTAGGTGGGGTGATATTAGGAGAGTAATGCAAGACGAGTGTACTGTGCAAAGAGACAGAAATGTACATGAGAAAACACACACACACACACACACACACACACACACACACACACACACACACACACACACACACACACACACATACATACACACACACACACACACACACACACACACACACACACACACACACACACACACACACACATCAGGGCGCCCAACTTCTAAAAACAATTTTTTGTCTTGATCGTCGATTACGAGTAACTATATCTTTGGAGGCGACCTATCCTTCGGCCTTTATTGTCAGGGTAATGCGTAAGAGGCTTTGGAGACTGTCGATGAGAGAGAGAGAGAGAGTTACGGCAATAGACTACAGTAATATGAACATACAACCAGCTTAATTTCTTTTTTGACTTAACAATTACCTCAATGGCGAGAACTTTACATTAAGAAGCGAAGGATTAACAAAAAAACATCGTCTGGTTAGGTTAGGTTAGGTTAGCATAGTTCACTAGGTTTGTACTTTAAAATATACAAATTGATACTATAATGGTGTTGCGTTCAGTCCATGGTATTGGTAGATTAATACGAAATAAGACGGGACCACTTGTATTGGTACCGTTAAGACGATCATTCACCTTAAAGAAGAAAATCAAGAACGTTCACTGAAAATTACAATTGCTTTTAATAAACTGTGAGTCGAGAGTGTCCACAAACCAGACATTGACTTGATTTTATGATTTATTTTACATACATTCATTAAGTTTTCCACATTTGATCATTACTCGTGGTGTTATCCGCCTCTTCGACGAATTAACTAAAGCTATCACTGAACTATGATTGATTTTAATAGGAAGGAACCACTGAGCTGTTATGTGGACACCATAGTTTACTCTCATCTTGTTAAAATTATATCAGCGTCATTTATTCCTTGGAGTGCCACAGATTTACATTATGAGTATCGACCAAAACAAACTGCTATTAAATCTCTGAGTCTATAAAAGATGCCTCTACCATAGCGTGTTCACTAGCCTTTCTTCTAAATGATCAAACCTGACTGAGTGTCGCTTTCGCCGCCGCAAGGTCGAAAATTACATTGGAAGAACATGTAACTAATATACCCAGTTTCGTGAAAATTTGATGATATTTATTGATTTTATTTTATATTTTTAAGGGTTTTGGTATGTGGCATATGGGGCTCAATTTTCCACAGACAACATCCCTTATACGGTCCAACTTTTGTGGACAGTTTCATTGAAATCCATGCAGTAGTTTTCATGGTACATAAACTTAAAACTTTAAATGCGATTTAATCAAAACAGGTGTTTTGGACATACGCCTTTCCCATTCTAGGCGCCTTAATTCTTCTCTATGGAGTGCTTTCATGTGGCTACCTGCCCATATGAAGATCTCGGGGAACGAGTTGGCTGAAGCTTGCGAAATTATGTGCACAGAAAAACACTGGGAGTTCCGGTTACTCGAGTTACACAAGCAACTACGTACCAAGATTAGACTTAACCAATTTGACCAACAAGAACAAATCCGTCTCCTTCGACCCTCCCAGCTGGATTGCCAAGGTGACCTTTCATCTCTGTGCCCCGTGGCAATACCCCCAAAACACCTGCCGCTCAGAATGCTACTGAGGCAAAGATCCCCCTGGGAGTAAAGAGATACAATGGACTTACCCTCCCCCTGTCCCTTGAGAAGAAGAAAAAATAGCTCTGCTCCATGTGCCAGGAGGAACCTTACACAAGCAACCTGATCTACTGCAGTCCTCCGGAAATCTCAAGGACTTATATACTTGACACAGTTGTCCCATTTATCAGCAACTGCTGAACATTGCCATTAACTCCTGCCATGATCTGCTCTGACTGTAGGACTGGCCGCTAGGTTTCTTATTTTAATACAGTTATTTGTCTCTCTCTCCCTCCTTGATCAGCTGCGCCTCTTGTTGTTGTACAATACTCAGCTTATAGATGTGACGTTATTCTTAAGCGAGTACAGAAATAAAAAATATATATGTCTTTTATTAAATGAAAGAGATTGGTGGTTTTGATGATAAAATTAGTGTGATGTTTAAACTTTGGTAGAAATGCGTCTAGTGTGGCAGCATCATATTAGTGTTATGGTACAAGCACTGCATGTTCCCTCTCGCTTTCAGCTGCCGCCACTGGCTAGCTCTCGTGGCGAACAGAGAAGCAACTTCCATAGGTCTTCCCCTGCCAGTACACAGCCTCCTCACCATCAAGACGGCAACACACAGTAACTGGGTGCCTCGTGGGCCCAGGCTAGATCAGCAGAGGATCTCGGAGTAGCAGTGGGCCCCAGAGGGACGGCGCATAGGCTCACTGGCATGTGGACACGTCCTGGCGCCTACCAACCACCACCCCTCTGCCTTGCAGATTAACTTTGGCAGGTATAAGGCTACTGGAGTAAACCCCGAACGAAAAATCTGCTGTGGAACCCTTCATCGGGCAGACATGTTTACAGAGCTCCAACAAGACCCCAGAGGCAGTGTAGGCAGAAGAAGTGACCACCATGGAAACCCAACGACTACACCGGCGGATGAAGGCAATGCCTGATGAACAGGCTACTAAGGCAAAACCCAACAAACTGGGCTATTGGCAGTCCATTGCAATTCTTCCTCTCCCCAGTCGTTGCCACACTTGCACCACTGGATCAGGAAAAGGGAGTGCCAAGATGTGTGGTTGCAGCCTACGCTCCTGCCTCACCACATAAATCAACTCACGCACAGCCATCACCCAGCTCATCATACCTCACCATCATCAAAACCCCTTATATCCCCCAAAAAGTCTTATGGCGATGGACGAGTGGCGACGGGGACAGGCAGAGATGAGTGCCGGGAGTCTCTAGTCACAACTCTGCACATGGGTGGCACAGATAAGATGGTCGTTTATGCACTGGGATCTAGGCAGCAGTGCAATCCGGTCCTCTCTGTTCGACTGAGCAGCCCTTCCGAGGCTCTTTTCACCCCACATGGGGAGGGAACTAGAAAAGGTGCCCAAAACATAGCCTGCCTAAAAACCCAACCTAACTGGGCAACCGCACCCAGTAAGGTCATCCTTATGCGGTCGAAAACACAATCAAAATCACAGATTCAAACAAAAACAAACCATACAACCTCTTATGGTCGCTGCATGGAATGGCAGGACCTTTCTGGATACTGGCACAAATGAGCATCCTGAAAGAAGAACTGCCCTTGTGGCAAAAGAGCTGGTTAGGTATAACATCGACACAGCAGCCATCAGTGAGTCCCGGCTCCCAGAACGGGGATGTGGCTATACCTTCTTCTGGAAGGGTAAGCCTGCTGAGGAGAGAAACCGCATTTATGGAGTTGGCTTTGCCATCCGCCAATGCATCCTACACAGGCCAGTTCAAAATAATACACCAGGACTGGTTTGATAAAAATGACCCGGCAATCAAAGTACTCATCGATGATAAACGTGCTGCTTTTACTGACTGGCCCCTCCTAATACCTATTAGTTGAGGTCTAGTGTCTGGGTGGAAGCATATAAAGGCGTTACTTAATGAAACTCAGTAATGCATTATAAGGACACCCTAGTGGTGAGGTTTGTGTCACCTTGACCTATAAAAGAATTGTAAGAATTGGGACAGGTGTCTTAGTAACACCTGTTGAATAACCTAAATCTAAAACAACAATAAGAACAAAACGAGTAAGAAGTTATTGTGTGTTTTATATTTGTAGAGTCTTAAGGCTTGGCGAACAGTGCTTAAAAGTCAGGCCAGTTGAACCACCTAAAACAACAATGATAACGGCAGCATCACTATCATCTAATGTACTATTCTAGATATTATCTTACCATTAACGTTTATCCTTTCATCGCTACCCGTAACTTCTCTTATTAGAAGTTGTGGATAGGTATTATATGATAGTAGAGACACATACAGCCTCCTGATGCTGAATACATATATTAGCCACATATGTAGCCGTATCAGTATACCCCCACAGTGCGGGATATACTGTTCAGGCCTTGCTGTTTTTCCTAACTCAGGATATATTAATAGTATACTGTGTCGATGTTTTTGCTTTTTCAATCTTTATTACATTTACTTGTTTTATAAAAATGAAATAAAATTCAAAAGAAATCGGTGCATTATATTTTACCTGTTTTTTTTTTTTATTGGGCTAACAAAACTATAGACAGGAGCGTATCAGCCTGGAAGTAATGTCCTGCTTGGTGAATTAATGATAACACTCACTGAACCTGAACTTCAGGGCTCAAGATAGTCATGCCGACGGAGGAAACAAAGCCGTTTGCCACCATTTACTGAAACTTAATTTCGGGGATGACAATTTCTGGAACATACTGGGTGGCAGGAATCCTGACCTCTGGTATATTGGCAGGTGTAGGGAATAGCTCGGCTAGTTCCCTCATGATGTTTTGAGTCTTCATCAAGACGGCTTCCACATTGTCCACCTGCTGGAGCTGGTGTTCAACATCGATGTTTCCTAAAGTTGTGTCCCTCTCTTGCAATATCTGGCGGACCGTGGGGAGTATCGCTAGGTTGAACTGATGTACTCTGTCCACTGCCGAGGAGTCTGCGTTTTCTAGGGCTGACTTGATAGCCGGCAGGAACCTTCTGGTCAACTCGAAGGCCTCGATGATCTCCTGAGGATCCACGTTATCCGGAGTGTTATTGTTGTTGTTCATATTCCACCCGTTATTTCCCGTGGGGAAGGCTGTGGTCAGTCCCACCATAGTTACAAGACAAGCAAGAACCTGGAGTATGGAAAGGGTGATAAGTGTCTGTCAGTATACTTGGCACTGGAGACTGTGGGTCTGGTAAACTGCCTCATTCAAAGTGTTGTATTAAATAATTATATATTTATATTTTTTTGTGGCCAGGGAGATTACTATGAACTTACATAAAACATTAAAGAGTCTCTGTGTCCTGTACGCTACCGCTAAGTTCTGAACTGTCCCTGCCATTTTTTTGTTTTGGTAGCAACAATAACAAGTTTCAGAGTCGGTGAAGGTAATTTTTATCTACGAGTTGGTGTCACAGCTTAAGAATCAGACGGGACGGATGGGTGAAACCAATTCTCTGTTCTTTCTGTTTAGACCGGGAACATAAAAACTAGTATTAGGTTAGGTTACGTTACGTTAGGTTACGTACAGCCGGGAAGATGTATTTTTTTTCCTTTGAGGCCGTTTGTGGGGGTCTGATCTAAGAGTATTCGCGTGATGAACTTAGTTAATAAAACTCAACAATACAATACCAGTTGCTCTGTTTACGTGGCCTGATTTACTGTATGTTTAAGGCTCTTAGTTGTTGAATCACAAAAATACATTATATAGTCATAGTAGCAGCAACTACACTGGTTCTAACTTGAAGCGTGTACAATAGTGAGTTTCTGCAGGTAATATATTATCTCCTCTGGCCGGTGTCTCCTAGGCTCACTACACTAGGAGGACGCGTGTTGACAGAACGATGGAGATATAAGACCATATTATTCTCACCTGAAACTTCATCTTAGAATGGCACGGTGTCAGGAGCTTACAGCAAGTTGGTGTCTCAGATCAGAATACCAACATTCATCTGTTGTTCGATTTAAATAGCAAGTAGAGTTTGTCCTTAACGGGATATTGGAGTTACCTAACGTCAGCATACATGTCAAAATTATCTTGATTTTGTTGTCAATGGATGAAAAGAGTTCCGCAGCAGAAATATATCCAATAAATATAATCTTTAATGAACTTGCGACATAAATTATGTATTCAGTGTTGTGTTAGAGCGTTTAATATAGCATTTCATCAGCAGGTGATATAAGAAGCAACAGTGTTACCTTCAGGGGCAGTTTTTTCTGTATATCGTTGCCGAAGACCTTGGATGACGCCATTTATGTAACAGTCAGGAAGACAATTTTTTTATGATGTTTTATTTCTGATATGTTGAAATTTATTAATATTTTCTTCGTTATCTTTGTTTTTTTTTATTAATATGGATATCATTCTTCTTATTATTGATATCAATAGTATTAATGTTATTTTACTGAGAAGTTTAATCGTGTGTGTTTATAAAAACATGTTTCGTTAGGCTTTAATTTCCTGTTTAATTAACCATGTGGGATACTCGTACTTCGCGAATCAACGGTACAGGCCCCAGGTGATTCCGGGCTGCCAGGCGAGAGGAAGTGGTGAAGGAATTAAAGTAGGAGTACGGTAGCTAATATCTATGATTTAGTACAGGAATAATTGTGCTCACATGTAGAGAACGAGGCGGCAATAAACTGATCAACAGATTCGAGGAAGTAAACGAAGGAAGTGAACTCTGTTTTAATGATGTTAATACTGATGTAAACAATAACAGGTAGGGAATCTTGTGTATATAGGGAGTAACATTAACTATGATGTTAGTTATGACATAGATTATTAAAAGATAAGATAACCAAAAAAACAGCCTTTGAGAACACGGCTGCTGAAATGGTACGTATGGTGATTACTGTTGTACGGATCAGAAGTTTAGACACTGTCAGGAAATAGAACAAGGAGGCTGGAGGCCCTCTGAACTGTGTTGTGCAGGAGAATGCCAAAGATAAGTGGTACTGGTACAAGAATACTCTTTCTATCAGGCATAAATTATGATTAGAGAAGTATGAACAGATCATATTGTGTTCAGTAATACAATTGAAAAGCTGAGTTTATATGTATCAGAAAAAAAAAAGACTTATCCTGAAAGACAGTCACTTCAGGTTCACATTTTATTTCCTTCACCTTTATTAACTCCGCTGATAATTTTTTGGTCTCTTACTATTCTTATGTATCCCGGAGTCACATATGATTGTCAGCGGAGTATACGTGATGACACTAGACATCTGTTCATTCCCACACACCTTCATACCTGGGATATATTTTAAGAATTAATTAATATCTCCTCAAGTAAAAGACATATAGTAATTTTCTCTTTAATACCCCCCTCCCCTAACTCCGTCCCAAGGTCACTGCTTACGTTTGTGACAGTACGTGGTGAGTAGGTGGTCCGGGCTATGTGTTTGACACTTTTTGGGGGGCGTGGAGGTTGGCATTTGGATACAGACCACTTGTGTATACCAATTTTATACTGATCACCCCCCCCCTTCTCCCTTCGCCTCCCCCTCCACCTCCCCTCCCCTTCCCTTCCCTTACCCCTCCCCTTCCCCCTCCCCTCTCCCCTCCCCCCTTTCTTTCTCCGAGTGTTGCGTTAAATGCTGGGCTGTGCCTCAACTTGTTCGTTTTTTTTTATTCTTTCAATAATTAAGCACCGTAACTGTGGCTTGTTTCAGGATTGGGGCAACATTAAATACCAGACACGGATCTGGAACCGAGCATTTTCTATAGTAGGTATACGGGTACTGTTAGCTAAAGTAATGGGGTTATTTAAGGTTAGGTTAGGTTAAGTTAGGTTAGGTTAGGTTAGATTACAATATGTGAGGTTAGGGGACATAATGTTAAGTTAGGGATAGTTCAGGTTAGGTTCCAGTATGGGTTGTGGCTCAGAGATGAGTCAATACTGTACAGTCACAATATTCCGCATCAGAAAATCCATCCAAACATTATATTCATTTCCCACCGACAACCTTTACTTCACTCTTAAACTGTTAGGCCGGAGTATCTGCGGATATCCTGACTTCAAACTTGAAGCGTAATATTCTTGAGGATGGTCCCTGTGTGTGTGTGTGTGTGTATGTGTGTGTTATCGTTAAGATTATAATTTATCAATAGTTGTAGGCCCTGTGAGTAATTGTGAATAAAATAATTTCACACCTCACATTGAAATAATCATTCTTTTTACAAGCAAAACAATAAAAAAGGATCAGAAATATAAGTGGAAATGTATAAGTCCTAAATTAACACATGTTTCAATAGAACTGTTAAAGTACAAGTAGTTATCATTGGTTAAGTCAGAGTGTAGCTGCTGTAAGCTGCCCAAAATCCCGAATTTTCTTATTTTTTGATGTTCCGTTGTTTGAAAATTCTTTCTACTGTAAGTGGTTCTGTTTTCTTTGAACAAACTCGCACTTGAGGGAACAGAGAAAAGGCACTAATATTTCCAGTGTCTGGCCTCGGTGCAATTAACAGCGATGGCCGGTACTCTCGAGAACAAATATGTTTTAAGTATACAGTCTTGTGATAGATTTCGTCACTCTTGAATGAATATTTTGAAGCTGTGTGTCTGTTCTATCACCGATATGAAATGATTGCACCATCCACTGGACACCACCTGCCATTTTTATTTATTTTTATTTGTTTTTAAAAGCCTGCCTTAGCCTTTGATGTTTTCTAAGATTCAAATTGGTCCATTTAGAATTGTAAAACTAATTGTGTTGACAACTTGAAAGTCAACACACAATGCACACCACACAATGCACACCACACAATGCCACAATGCACACACACACACACACACACACACACACACACACACACACACACACACACACACACACACACACACACACACACACAAAATGCGTTGAGGATTAGTAATAACGAAGGTCTGTGACGTTTAATAGTAACATTAAGTTTTTCAAAGAACAACAAATGATGTTGTTTCTCACGGTGGACACATCTTGTGCTGGATTTTCCATTAGTTTTTACTTCCAAACTTTCATCAATATTAGAGAACATTAAATTGCATATTTTTTATATTTTTTATAATTGTGTTTAGAAGAGAATGTTTTTTACACATAATACTTCAAATATGCCCATAACCCATCTGGTATAACTCTAGTCTATTTTTAATTTACTGGAAAAACAGAATTTGCACTATGAAGTTCAGCAAATTATGTAACGGAAGAAATCTGGTTACTTATATTTAAAATTTTAGGCCTTACATACTGTAGATCTTCCACGTATGTTATGGATCTTGACACTCCTACTGAGTCTTGATTTCGGGAATGATGATTTCCGGGACAAGTTTGGTCGCTGGAATCTTAACCTCTGGGATAGTAATGTCTGGCACAAACTCATTGTCGAAGGTCGGAAACTCCGGGATCTGAGGAGGGGGGAATGTCGTAGGTGGTGGGAAGCTGTTTATAACATCAGTCAAGGCTTGCAGGAAGGGAGGCAAAAAGCGCTCTGCGGCTTTTTGCTGGCGGTTGCGGTACTCCCTTTCCTTCGAATTTTTAGCTTTGTCGACGGCTGATTGACCTAGAGGAATAAAGCTGAGAGCCACATTGTTCATCCTCTCCAAGGGCGTGCCTTCCTGGTCGGTGAGGGAGGCACTCAGGGTGGGCAGAAATTCGAAAATAGTGTCGATCGTTTTCTCGTTGATGAGAGCAAGGGGTCCTGGTACTGGTTGTTGATTCACTTCTTGATCGGTGGCCTGTTGAGGACGCCCCTCACCAATGGTCACTCCAGCAACACCCAACACAAACACGAGAATCTGTAACAATAGAGAACAACATAACCTATATTATTTGTATCAAACACCTTTTATTAACATTGATACAAATAATAAGTTCAGATCAGTAATCGGTATTGAAGACGGCCAATGATGGTTCTTATCAACTACATGACTAATATTACTGACCAGAGCTGTATAGTGGTAAAGGGTGAACCATGACTCACCTTTTAAGTGGATCTGTACTAGTCTTGTTCTGTCACCACATGTTACACTCATCACATTGTTACGGTCACTACATTGTTACGGCCCCTTCATAGTTTTAATCACCGTAATGCGTACAGTCACCTTATAATTATTTCCTTTGTTTGTTCACCATTAATTCTGGGTTAACCATGAAGTGCCAAGCCGTCAGCTGTTTAATAACAAGAAGGAAACACACATCAGGAGACCCAACTACGAACACACGGACAGAGGCGTGTTATTATTATGAATCTTCTATCTACAGTAAATGGCAGTTTTAGTAGGCGTTTATCCGTTTGTCCGTTCCTTCTGTCAGTCTGGTTGATGTCCGTCCGTCCGTTTGGGTTGATGTCCGTCCGTCCGTCTGGGTTGATGTCCGTCCGTCTGGGTTGATGTCCGTCCGTTCGCCTTCACTTCCTTCTGTTTCTTTATTCTTGTTTAAAAATTTCCTTTACGGTCGTGAAGAAAACTTTTCAGTGATCAAGGGATATATACATATACACTCTTGGTTAAGGGATATACATATACACTCTTGGTTAAGGGATATACATATACACTCTTGGTTAAGGGATATACATATACACTCTTGGTTAAGGGATGTACATATACACTCTTGGTTAAGGGATGTACAATGTCCAGTGTTTGGTCAGAATGAAAACTGATATACACTAAGGCCGACAACAGTAGGACACATTAATACACTGTGGCTACCTTATATATATACACTTCGATTTCTTTTTCTTAGGGTGCCTAGTGTCACATTTAATGAAATTTCACTATTTAGGAAACTAGATGATATTTTGTGTTTAGATTTTTTTAGTACAATTTTCTGAGTCTTGGATGGGTTATTTGATGTGATCAGTTAAATAAAGGAAGGTAATTCTAAAAGATTTGTTGTGAATTTTTTCGTGTAAAGCGAAATCTGGCATGTGATAACTTATCTTGACCTAAGTTATCAGGCCAACTGGCTTTGGCACTTTCCATAACGAGTTCAGTTGATCTGAAACTTCAAATGACGATGATTGCAAATACTGGTGTTGTATATATATATATATATATATATATATATATATATATATATATATATATATATATATATATATATATATATATATATATATATATATATATATATATATATATATATATATATATATATACATATATATATATATGCTGATAACCACAAGGAAAGAATAGGTAACACTTTTAAGTTCAGTATTTATAGAAAACCTACTAATGTGTGTGTTCATATATTCATTATTATTCTGCCCACCATAATAGACTCAAACAGTCAGTATTTTTAACAATGTTTTTACGTGCTCTGAGAATTTGCAGTCCGGAATTCATTGATGAGGAATATAAATATATCTAAAATATTGGCTCAAACCTTAAATACCCCAGATCTTTCATAGACAAATGCCTAAACATTACTAAGAAAACTTTTTATAGAACTGATCCCAAGCCCACCCATGACCATAAGAATATCTTAATATTACCATTTCGCAAAAATTTCTCACACATTCCTTTGCAACTAAAAACCTGGAACGTCAATGTGGCATTTAAAAACTCATGCACTGTTAAACAAATGTTAATCAAGAACTCCCCCAACAACACAATTGGTTGCATTTATAAAGTTCCTTGCAAGGAACGTAATATGTTTTACTTAGGCCAGACAGGTAAAGATCTTGTAACTAGACTTAAACAACATAAATATAGTGTTAGGACAGGCCAGGAATCCAATGCTCTGTTTGTTCATTTGAGGGATAACAAGCATTGCATTGACTGGGATAATGCCTCCTCAATATTACCTTGTAATTCAATTGATAGTAGGAACATCATAGAATCTAATCTCATTAAACATACGGAAGCATTGAACATGAATTTGAGTAATGGCATGTACAAACTGGACAATTTTGTAATTAAGAAGATTTGTAACCAGGTGAGAAGGTTGGGTCACCTTACCCTCTGACCTGACTACCGACCGTTGCGGTACTATTTAAAGATTAGTAGGGTCATTACCTAATACCTGACCATTGTGGACCTGGTCTCACCCTCTTCTGTATATATACACCTTGTTTTGTACTTCTCTTTAGTCTGTACTCACCCCTGAAGATGTGAATTACACGAAAGCGCTTGGGAACTTCGCGCACCTACAGTGATTTACTTGCATATATATATATATATATATATATATATATATATATATATATATATATATATATATATATATATATATATATATATATATATATATATATATATATATGTATATATATATATATATATATATATATATATATATATATATATATATATATATATATATATATATATAAGAACATAAGAAAATAAGGAGTCTACAATAGGCCGGTTGGCCTGTGCATGGCAGCTCCTGTCGAGAGTTACTACCACTCTCTATCATCCATGAATCTATCTAGCCTCCTTTTGAAACTTTCCAGAGTTCCCGCACTTACTATAAAGTTGCTAAGCTTGTTCCACTCGTCCACCACCCTATTTGTGAACCAGTTTCTTCCTATCTCCCTCCTAAACCTAAACTTATCCAACTTGAATCCGTTGCTCCGAGTCCTATCCTGCTCGGATATTATAAGAACTTTATCTATATCCCCTTTATTGATTCTTTTCACCCACTTAAATACTTCTATCATATCTCCCCGCACTCTTCGTCTTTCTAGGGAATGCAAGTTAAGTTTCTTTAGCCTATCCTGATATGGAAGGTTTCTAAGTCCCGGAATCATTTTTGTCATTCTTCGCTGCACCGACTCTAGTGAATTTATATCCATTCTATAATAGGAGCACCAGAACTGAACCGCATAATGCAGCCACAAGGAAACAAGAAAACACGAAGTTCCCAAGCGCTTTCATGTAATTCACATCTTCAGGGGAGAGTACAGACAAAAGAGAAATACTTGCCAAGGCTAATATATACAGTAGGTCAGTGCTTCTCAAACTCTCTGATGTGGCGGACCGGCAGGTTTTTTCCAATGTGCCAGGGATCGGTACCATATTTGTGTCATATTATTATTTGTTTACGATCCGAGAAAATATTATTTGAACATTCGTAGTAATATTAATTTATGCCGGAAAAATATAATGAATATAATAAAAGTTGACTTTTTTTTTTGTAAACAAGTATTACAATATAAATAAAAATATTAAAAAATCAAACTAACAAAGCCTTCTAACAAAGATATCATAAACATTTGTTAATATAGGTGATAAAATGAAAATTTATAATGAATAAAGTAGGTTAAAATAAAATTATATATTTTAGTTATTTTAAACCCCAATGCATAAAGACGTTAAAACAAAGATTGAAAGGAATGACACTCATGGTTGAGAAGCCAGTCTCGCAGAGGTAGGTTGAAGGAAATGGGAGAAGAGTTTTCAGAGCAATTTCACTAAGCTCGGGATATTCTGTTTTGTTTCGAAACTCATCTTCAATCCTTCGTCAGCAGCCAGCTCCAACAATTTATCCTCCATAGTAACACTTGAGTCATCTCTCAATGACATAAACGGATTTCGGATCCATTCATTCCCTTTCCGTGGGTCTTCTTCTGCTGGAAAGTAATGCTGAAAACGTTCTGCCAAATTCATCAAGTGTTCTCTGATGACAATTCGTAGAGATGTAACATTAAGGTCTTCGCCTGCATCGGCGATGACTGCCGCTAATTGGTGAAACATGTCATAACAATCTCTTGGCACTCTACTCTTCCGTGCTTCTAGCTTTCGTTTTTGTCCGTCGATCTTGTCTGCCATTGTAAAACACGAAGCCATCCTTCTCTGCCTGGAGGTGTTGAGATCATTAAAGATGGCAAAGATATCAGCCAAATTAGCCAGCTTGGCTAGCCAATCCACTTCTCGGAACAATTGTGACCAATTTGGTTTTTTGTCCTGAAGAAACTCGGCAAGCTCGTTTCGTAGCTCAAATACTCTTGACAGGACTTTTCCCCTCGATAACCAACGTACATCGGCATGCAATAGGAGCTGTTTATGATCAGCTCCCATAACATCACATAATGCAGTGAATAGTCTCGAATTTAAAGCATTTGCCTTTACATGGTTCACAAATTTTACAACCTCACTGAGCACATTGTTTAGTTCTGTTGACAGTTTTTTTTGTTGCAAGACTTTCTCGGTGAAGGAAGCACTGCGTCGACTTGCATTCTGGGGCAAGCTCCTTGATCTGGGTAACCACTCCCGAATGCCGTCCTATCATTGCGGCAGAGCCATCAGAACATACGCCTACACAAAACTTGAAATCCAACCCACATTTGTTAACGATGTAGTCGCTCACAGTCTTGAACACTTCAGAACTAGTTGTTTTTGTTGGTAGTGAAGCAGAGAAAAAACTCTTCCTTCAAATCACCCTCATGTTCAAAGCGCACATACACCAGCAGAATTGCCATATTATTAACGTTTGTACATTCATCAAGATGCAAAGAAAAGTACTTTGCTAATTTAATCTGTCCTGTGAGCTGATCTTCCATATCGTGAGCCAGATCGTGAATTCGTCGAGCTATAGTGTCATTTGAAAGTGGCACCTTGCCGCCGGCTCGCCCAGCATTTCCATGCAGACATCTTTATTACCGCTTATCACTAGCGTCTCACCGATTGTGTATGGCTTTTTAGCCTTAGCAACTCGAAATGCTACTTTATAAGAAGCCCGCAAAGCACAAGTACTTATGTGTGACACTTCAAAGATCTGTTTCTGACGGCCTTTTAAATCAACATGCTTTCTTTCAAAGAAGTCTTTCGTCTTTGAACTCATTTCTTTATTTTTGTATTTAAATGCCTCTTGGGGTTTGACGGCTTCATTGAGTCGTTAGCCAACGCATCTCTGCGGACCGGCAGCCGATGGCTCGCGTACCGGCTCCTGTCCGCGTACCACCACTTTGAGTAGCACTGGTTAAGAATTATCCAAGGGTTTCATCCTCCAATTTAATGTCCTCTTTGCTGAATCACCCTGTATATCGAGGATAATCCCGCTGTTAATGTGAAAAGAATGTGTTACTGGTTAGTGCCGCGCTAAGCCAAAGGGCGGGGTGGGGAGGGGGGAAACTTAGTGGTTACTCTGTCACGGTGTATGGTGGGATGGTTGTCCGGGCCCTATCTCAGGTACGTTTGTGAGCTAGGAAGGTGAAATTCTGACCCACTCCGTCTCCAGGCGTCGCATGAGGTGTGGGGCGGTGCACACTTATATAGTAGGCTCCCTCTTTCACTCTCCTAGACACAGTAGACTACTTCTAGAGCTATAACAATATATATTTTTTTGGGGTGAAATGGATTCGGTTGCAATTATCGAGCGCAAAAAAGTAAAAACAAGCTACTTGCTTTTTTTATGTTTGTCTGAAAGAGTCCAGCAGGTGTGTGTGTGTGTGTGTGTGTGTGTGTGTGTGTGTGTGTGTGTGTGTGGGTTTGTGTGTGTGTGTGTGTGTGTGTGTGTGTGTGTGTGTGTGTGTGTGTGTGTGTGTGTGTGGTGTGTGGGTTTGTGTGTGTGTGTGTGTGTGTGTGTGTGTGTGTGTGTGTGTGTGTGTGTGTGTGTGTGATGCTGCAGATGATGGACAAAATAATTCCATACGTAGCTTGATTGCTGACATTAATATATATTACTACCGTATGCTTTAACAACTTTGATTAGTAACTACACAAGTCAT